TTTTCTGATATTTATATAAGCAAATGTTTTTCACTATTTTCTTCACATAATATGGATAGTATGCTGAGAGAGAGAATGGACAAATTACAGGATAACCCAACCTTGAAAAGACAGCACCAGATGGCTGCACTCGGTGACAGTAACAGCAACGCCGAGGCAAAAAACTCACTGAGGTTCCCCATTCTCATAGCTAGTGAAAAATTCCAAAGGAAAATTATGGAATGAAAATGATTTACAATTCAAAATCCCATCTGAATTTTCTGAATTTCTTACCTGATTCTGAGTTTTAGCAAATTGAAAATGGAAACATTCTTTGATTTTGTGTTATCATGTTTAAAAACAAATGTTTAAGCTTTTAATAAGCTGCATGACATCCCCTTAGAATCCAACCCTCATCACTGTATGTTGCCATAGGGAGAATCCTTTCATAAAGAGTGAGATTTAAACAAAATTTAGTGCAAATAACTGTATTTCATATCAATTACAAACCATTACAGTAGTTGCTTTATTACCAAAGCGCACTATAAAAGCTAAAGGTGACATAAAACACGGCTGAGAAACGTGTCAGAAAGAGAATTTCTGGCTTCAGCATGCAGGAAAGCTGAACTACTGTACTGAATTCTTTAGCTCTGCTTTTAAATCTTTTTTTCTTGACATTTTTAGTTACTTTTTCCTCCTTCATTGTATCATAACATCATGTCTTTGCACTCCTTATTTTTGTTTGCATCAGTAGTGGAATCTGGGATAAATTAATTTCTCTGAGTCAAAATAAATGGATGTCAGAGATTTTCAGAACATGTAAGCAAGGAGAAACACAAAAACGATAACATTGCGTCAGACACTTTACCTACTTCCCCCCTTCCTCATCAGGGGAGGAATGAGGGATGGGATGAAGAACGGATAGGGTTTCAAGTTTAAAAACACACAGTCCACATCTTTCAGATGGAAAGAAAGTCAGGTTTATTCCTTTTCCTACGAGGCACGCTGGATGTCTCCGTTTTGACAAGACCCAGCTAATGCAGGTTACATCCTGGTGTTTCACTACGGCTCTAATGGATTGGAGAGTGAAGCTTGATACAAATATAATGACCATATCCCTTGAGAAAGTGAAAACAAATGCTGCTGTCAGAGAAGGCGACTTTTACAACCGTTTTTGTTTTGGGGCAATTATCAAATCTTTTCTTTCCCTCCTTCCTACTGCAGCTCATCTGTGTCCCCACGTTCTTCCAAGCTGGAAGCTCACAACAACTCGCTCCACAAACACAAGGAGCGCTTATAAAGCTGCTGCAGAGCACAAAGCTGTCTTCTAACAGATTCTGATTCACTGCCTTTTCCAGACGAGCATGAGATGGATCGTGCAGTTCTTCCCCTTTCTATGCGCTCTTTGTAATTGAGCAATGAATTAACCCATTCATCAGACTTGAGAAGGAATGCAGCATTACTGTTAAAAATTTTGAGAGGGGAAACTGAGGCACAATTATATCTATAAAGACTTATTAAATCTAGCTCTTTTACGGTCGTACATCCCCCTAATCTTTAAAACATAAGACGTTTCCTTACTCATTAGTGCTAGAGCCCCTTTGGGAAAGCCTCTCTGCTCCTCAGAATGTGCTGACAGTACAAACCACGGGAAAGCAAGTCAATGGGATGACAAAATATAGGGACAAAAATTAAGTGCTTCATGAAGGTGCGGCAATTACGACGAGAGACTTGAAATAGCAGGGGAAGAAACGGAGGGCAGGGAACAAGGAAACACTAGCGATGGCAAGAAGGGGGGTGACGCTCCCAGATGCTCAGTGCTGAGAATGCAAATTGTATTCAAAGTAAGGGAGTTTAACGACCGATCCGAAAATGTTCCAAAATCTACAAATTTGCATGGGAAAAAAACATCTGTGATGAAGAGTGCAGTTACGACACGAACTCCAGATTCTGGTCTTTCATTCCCATAGGGCTACAGTGAAGGCTTTTAAAAAATTTACTGCCATTCCACCTGTCAAGTAAAACGACAGGCTTTGCAGCTCTGCTTCAGGGAGATGATATTAAGAGCACCGATCAGTCCTTTCAGTACCTGAAAAATATTTTGCTGTCCTGGATACCAGCAGAACAAAACCCAGCTCCACTTTTTGGTTAATGAAACCTGCGAAATTTAATTAAGGCGTCCAGCACTAAAGAGGCTTCTCATACGTTAAACCCGAGTAAAAGGGATGAATCCCGACCAGCTAATTATACGGTGTTCTTCTAGGCTTGCTTTTTATTTTTAGAAATGCACTGCAACAGATTAAATTTTTAATTCTTTCAAAGTCTAGCAACAGAAAAGGAATCTGAACAGTGCCTGTAAAATCCAACCGATAGCGAGTTCATCTCCTTTTCTGATCGCTGCACAATCACAAGGTTAAGCAGCTGCTCCCAAAGAAGAGCCTTGTTTCCTCGGAGCAGTGCTTAGAGGTGCTGACCATGTAGGTGTAAATACATCTGTCTGTTGCCATTTGCAGTAATACACGCCTCCTACACTTCTCAGAGTGAGGCAGATGGTCCCTGTCCTGTCTAAATATTACACTGTACAGACTTACATTGCTATGTGTTTCCAGAAATATGAGGGCAGATGTTAAATATGTTAAACACACGCTTTGCCCCCTGGAGGTTTAAGTTAAGGCTGCTGTCTCAATTTGGTCATTTTAGGCACGCCAGCCTTCTCGGATCCTAGGCATTCTTCTTAAATCCCTGCTTTATAAACACAGCTTTTCATGTTAATTTTACGTACTTTCATCAAATATTTTGGATGCAGAACAAATGAAGGAAGCTCTCGGATTAGCATTACACAACTGCATGGGCTTCACTGAAAATTATGATCCTCATTCATGAAAACTCTATTTACAGAGCAGGGTATTTCCCACGACTGTTGTTTCTCCCCCTTACATAAGCCTCAGTGAATATTTTAAATTAAATTAGCTTTAATAATTACGCAAGATAATAGAACAGGGCCAGTTTGTGAATAGTAAAATTTACCTAAAACTACGAATATGAATATTCTGAGAATATGTTTAAGATATTTAGAAATAAAACATTAAACAGAATAACGCAGACATTACATTTGCAGCAGTTGTAGAAAAGTTTGCCGGTGTCACTGGCATTAAAGAAACAGCCTCTGTAAAGGCCACTGCATGAACTACCACCTAAACAAAGTGCTTTTTTTCAAATCATTATCCCCACCACTGCCCCTATCACCTTCTTCCCTCGGGAGACCCTCAGATGGCTTTTCATTTTCTTTCTACGTCTCGTCCCACCCAGTTGCAAGTGTCCATTCCATTTTAAGAACCTACCAACAGAGTCCAGAATTATATTTCTGTCCTTCTCTGACGACTCTTCAAGTCACCTTTTTGATATTTTCCCTCTTTGAGGCTCCATAATTCCCTGCTGATCTCCATGACCACCAACCTCTCACTGATTCTTCCTCCCTTCCTGTCCTCATCCAAGACAACACCTTTCTATAATTCCAAACTTCATGGGACTGCTAGTGCAATCTTTTTCCCTCGCCCGTGTTTAAATTGTAAGCAGGAAAAGAAGCAAAAATAAGCAACTGAAATGTACGTGTGGGAGAAGTTAAACCACAATATTGCCCTCATACTGTTTCTTTGCTGCTTCCTAAGTTCCATTTATTATTATCTCTGAAGTTCAGGAACTTATCTGCAGGCGGCCTCTGTGCTCAGGGCAATTGTGTGTTTGCAGGTCACGATTTGGCTCGACAAGCCTCACGAAATTCCTCTTAACAGCAGTGTGGGCAGGACTGACTCGGTAGATAGACACGCATATAAATACACATATATATGTGTGAACACGTATGCGAGCTTCAGAATGTCATCGTGCACACTCAGTGTGCTAAACAGAACAATAACAGATTTTACAGGACGTCCTGAACACTCAAGCACAGAATATGGGAATTACTCAGGGAGAGAGGGAATATCCGTGAGCTCTCACCTGAAGAATAATTCCCGGTTCACGAGACACAAGGTAAAATTCACCTCACTAGTGGGGTTTGAGCAAGAAACCACTGAAGCGAGCAAGATAGCACCTGCACCCATTTGCCAAAATGCAGGAAAATGCTGTGAACCTGTAGGACTTTCAATTGTTTTGTCCAACCACATGTAATATTCAATCTATTTTTCCTAAAAATCTCAAAGCCACCTATAAATTAACGGATTAATTAGGCTTTTAATGAGAAAATATTTAGGGATTTGAACAACCAGAAAGGGAGAGGGGAAAAAAAAATATAATCACCCACTAGCTTTATGTATTAGTCGCAAAACCTGAAGATTTGAAATTTATCAAGAGAAAAATATCAGTTTATGAAGCTCGCAGGGTCTTCCTGGTTATTATAGCATACATCTGTTTAGTAGAGGTTTCACAATAAATATTTTGAAGTGCATTATCAGAGCACAGGGAGAAGTACCGAAGTGCTCCTGGCTCCAGAACAAAAGTCCACAAGTGAACTTCATAGTACAGAACAGTCACTTCAGAGGAAAAATAAGGTCAAGAAAACGGCAGGATTAAGCTTTGGCTTTATGCTCAACCTGGCTCACTGTCTTTTCATTTTTGATAGTAAAAAATTATTTCTGCTTGAAAAGTTTGGAAATCAAAATAAACAAACGTTACAAAAAAAAAAAAGGTGAAACCTTAATTTATTCTGATTAAATACAGCTCTGCTTAAGTTTCATACCAATTCCTGGTGTGAAACTTCTCCTGCCGTCAGTGTACGGTATTTTCCATGTGGTAGGCTGCAAGAAAACGATCCACCCAAATGGATCTTCCTGAACTTTTAGAGATTTGGGTTTAAGTTTTGTTTACTTAGCTGATGCTGCCCGTCTTCCCCCCACCCCCCTTCTTTTGGCATTAAATTACACACACTGAAAGCAAAATAAAGAATAAAACTAAGTGTCCCTAGGAACACAATTTTTTCCTACATGAATTATAACATTAAGCAAGGTTGGTGCAGATCCACTTACCCTGTGCGTTTGGTGATGGTCCCTAATGTCATTGGCTGCTTGATTTGAGCAAGAGGCAACACCACAGTCAAGCTTGGAAGAGGCAGGAGTCGAGGGTTCCCAGGATTATTGTTTGTGAAGTTATTGTAAGTGTCTTGGCTGTTCAGTTTACCTTGATGGGACAGAGACGTCATAAAATACATTACTGGAATTTCTGCTTCATTTATAATTTCTAAGTGCCTTAAATAAGCCATTGCCGGAAAAAAAATAATCCTCAAACAAAAACCCCAGTAAACTTCCATAAGAAGAAACATATCTAAAAAAGTCATCTTCATTTCAAGTAAAAAGTAATTGATAACAGAAGCAGAAAATATTTATTTTTTATATATGAGGTTAGGGTCCCCTTCCATGGACGGAAAATTATTCGCGCTGCTGCTGCTTGCCTGAGAGTTCACCAAAAAATTCTCAAGTTTGATTTCAAGAACAAGCTCTGGATTCCAATTTTCTATTAACAAAAAAAAACAAAACAAAAAAAAAAGAAAAAAAGACGAGAGAAAGAATATCTGGAAGGGAATTATTTTCCTAAAGTACCACATCCAGTGTTGGTAATTGAAAGTCCTGAAAAGGTCGCTTTTGTTGTCTCTGCGGATAAAGGCACACATAACAGTAATTTGCTGAGCTGAGATCGGAGGAAAATCACAATAAAATAAAGCCATACCAAACTACGTGTGAAAATCAAGAAAGTATTAAAAAACCAACAAACTTCATATTCATTCCAAAAAGAAGCAGAAGAAAACAAAACATGGGTACTTAAAAAAAAGAAGGTGAAAACATAACAAAAAAAAAATCCCCTAACCCTAAATTTAGCCTGTTTCAAAGAGGTCCGTGCTGGATATACGCCCAGTTTAGATACGCTTTCCTACTTTCTGTATCATTCTGTAGTCACAACCTTTCATTCTTCAGTTAGAAAAGGAAACTAGCTACAAATTTCATGGACAGTAAAGAAAGAAATGTGAAGAAACCAAAGAAAGAAGTTAAACAAAAAAGGGGCCAGTCTGTTTATAACAGAATCAAAAGTACTTTAAATAGACAAGCAACCATGAATTAAAAGGTTTAGATCATTAACTTGTTTTTCTGTGTTCCTATAATGCTGTGAAACGCTGGCTTTGTTCTTAATCAAAAGGGAGCCATATTGGGAATTAGGTTCCTAAACAACCGATGCATTCTACACAGATATTATCCAAATCCCAGGCCAAATCCATACAATCTGACTGAAGAGCAGCCACCTTTTTTCAAGGAAGAAAAACAGCACAGAAAAGGGTTTCTCACAGGAAGCTGCTTGAAAAGCTTTAATGGTACTTCAGATGGATTGAAAATAGGAAAAGGAAGGCAGAAAAATCTTAATGAATGTCTCATCATCCTAAAGACACTCAATGCTTCCTTTACCCTTCTTTTAATACTATATAACTGTAAGCTTAGGGGGTTTATTTGTTTTTTCTACCAAGTCCATAGACCTCTGCATCTTAGAAAAGCACAATAACAAAAATGATGAAATTACCATGTGTATTTTGCGTTAAGTATCTGGCCTGAACATTGATCAATACATTTTAAGAGAAATAGCAAGGCTTTAATGAATAACAAGCCTATTGAAGCCTCCGAGAGCAGATTTCATTAATAGCAATTTTCCTGCACGGACTTGGAATAAAAAGAAACACGAAAGGGGGGAAAGAAAAACCCGAGCTCAGTTTTAAATTAAGACTGAGCCACAACTAATTTTTTTTTTACAATTAGTTTCATAATGCGTTCTTGGTTCTTGCAGAAAGGAGTATGAATAGTTTTCTGCATTATTGTCTAATGAGCTGCTGTTGCATGTAATCAAGGCCTCTCTGAAAGTGTTTCACTCTTCCACATTCACCACGAGCAACCGCAGGCTACGCAGCAAACACCGATGAGATCTACGGAGGGGGCTCCAAATGGCTGTAATTTGTTTTCTTTTACCTGTTAGGAATATAATGATTAACTATGAACTACTGAAGCAAACGACAGTGTTGTAACAGTCCTCCCTCTCTCCCTCTCAAGGCACATTTAATTACTCAGTGCTCTCTGCTCCCAAGATTGTGTAGTTTTCCATATGCAAAGCCTTCAGATGATTCCACAGAATGTTTGCACGCAGAGAAACGGGGCATTTGCAGACACCCCGCCTACCCAAGGCCAAGCGGCTTTATACTGCTAAAAGGTGAAGAATTCCACGGCAGTTACGGATACTCAGCAAACTGCAGGATGAAGTCACGCCTTCGGAGTTTTTTTTTTAACTGTAGCAACAACATCCTACAAATGTTTAGGCTCACACATAAGAAAACCCAAAGTAAACAAAGTGAACTACACAGAGAGAATTGGAAACATGTACTAGAGATGCTGAATAGGATCAAAATCTAAGATGGGGATTCTTTGAAAAAAAAACCACCCCAAAATATTCCAAGGTCAAGCATTTGATTTCCAAGCATTCAGCAAAATCTGCACTGTATATTCTGAATGTCACTGGAACAAAGTCAGTGTCACACATTATGTTTAATAAATCATTTTAAACCGCTACAATTTTATGGCGTGCTGTTGAACCCTCCAGAAATCTGACAAAATCGCCCTCCATTCCTCCAGCCCTTCCAAGTAGGAAACTTCTCCTGCAGCAAACGGGAGTTGCGTGTGCGCAGGACCGTCGTATCAGGCCAAAGGAGCACAAAGAACGCAGTCAAGCGTCAACATTAGTTCTACAGCTGAAGCAGTTGCTGATTCACTGTCAAAGGACAAGCCACAAATAAGCCAAAGTTTAAGGCCGCTAAAAATATCAAATGTTTTTCACGCAGCAGAATCCTGCACTCAAGTTACTTTGCCACATATTCATTCTTGTAAGGAAATACATAAATTAATAAGAACTAAAACCCCGGAACCATGGCTCCAGTTGAACAGCTTCGGTTAGCGCTGACAATTTAACTTGAAATGCTAACTTGGTGTGTACTGACAGCTACACACAAATCACATCCTGTCGACTATTCAAGGAGTACTTTCTATTGCAATTAATTTAGAGAAAACTAATCATCATCCTCACAATTTCATGTCGAATATGCCCTTTCAAGAATCAGTCCCAACATTTCCAGGAGAGCATCCCAAGCAATGAGGCACTTTCCTTGGGTAATCGCCCACAGCGTGACCTTAACAGCGCTCAGGACCCCGTGTAAGGCAAGTTCTTTTGGGCAAGTATTTGTCTTTCCACGGGCTGCCACAAAAGAGATTTTCAGATGACAGTTCAAGAGCTGTGCAGGGAATACATTAAAGCCAGGTTAGGCTAAGGTCTATTTTCCCCGTGTCCATCTGCCCATTTGCCTGCACTCCCTCTCCAGCTTGGGCACAGCTCAGGACACAGGCAAAAAGAAGCGTTGCATTATTTTCATTCAAATATTACAGACTCAAGGTCCAAATTCCTGATCACAGCTAAACTCAAGTCAAAAAAACTACAGTTAATCCTAATTCAGCCTTTAAGACTTCCACTGGAGAAAAATAGGAGAAGAAAAAAAAAATTCTCATGTCTCAATTTAAGCTGCTGGTAAATCTCTTCTTATTTTTACTAAGGGACTTGCAAAAAGCCAAGGATGTTGTGCTCTGAGAGCAGAAGTTTATTTACAAGTGCTGCATCATATTGCAGAAATGTTGCCTGCTGAGACGTGGAGAATACGATCAGCTTTGTTGTGCCTTCGTACCTATTTTGCTGAAAGTCTGCGACAAAACCGGCTCCCTATCAGCCGCCCACAACCTTGGCCACGCTTCTCCAGGCATTCTACTCCGCAAACACTCAAAGGAAAAACGGATTAAGTTGAGGATAAAAGTGAAGAAAGAAAACAACAATGGGCTTTGTTGTCAGTCGGAGGGAGCGGTACTCCCAAGCCAGCCATCATTAACGGGCTCGCTTCCACCGAGGAAAAAAGGGAGGCCTGGAAGTGCCGGACAAAAGAAATCCCAGCAGACAAAGAAAAAACAAATTAAAAGCACCGTTATAAAACACAGATGCTATAAGGAAAATAAACTTCACAAGATTTACTGGGGGTTTTTTTTGACAAAGCGGGACATCTGTGGAAAAGCCATCAGGAGCAGCTCCCAGGTAGGGTCCTGCCGGCCCGTGTCCCCTCCCCATGGCCTCGCCCCCCCCTGGAGCTGCCGGGAGCCACCGTCCCCCCGACAGGGCTCGGGTACCGCTGGCTGTGGTTTTTATTTACAGTTATTTTATTTACAGTCATTGTTAAGCCCATCAAATACTCTTAAGGCCTGAATGTCGGATACCAACACGTGACCAAGTCACGCTTTTCTAAGTTTTCCAAGGAAATTTTTGGATATGAAAGGAAAGCTACACCGAGGGGAAAACGTGCTAGACTTGAGAGCTTGTGATGCTGTATGGAAAGCATTCAATCAACTGAAAGCAATTAATACAATAAACTTGTCCTCTTCTGATCAACTAAGAGCCTTGATGAATTCAGGCCAGATTTCAAATTGGTCAGCATCTGAACGGAGTACTTGAGGGCACTGCTGTCAGAGATCATCTCTGAGGAGAGAGGAAGAAAAACATCCTGATTTTTGCAGCTACTGATGACATAAATACACATCAAAATGCAGCACAGCAGACACATTCCCCAAGGAGCTCATCTGCGATAGAGCACAGTGCAGCCAGTGTTATGCAAAGAGACTGTACTGGATCCTGAAAGAATTCTGTTGATGCAGCCCCACTGATCGCTTTCTTTTTTCCCTTCGGCCCACGCGTAGTACCACGCTAATGCCATCAAATCACTTCTTCCCCGATTTAAACGTAGCTCTAGTCCATCAGTACCACAGCCGCCCACGTGGGCAAGCGCCTCGCCCTGTCAGAGGGAAAAGGAGCGTGGCAATTCATCACGGAGCCTCACACCGAACACCTGAGGGATGCAAACATCAACTTGCCACCAAACTGAAATCAAATCGTTTTACCCACTAAATTCTCCCTGGCAGCTCTAATTGTATACGGCACGTCTCCCCACTCAGGCGCCGGGGGATTCTCTTTTGCAAATAGAAATCCCACCCTGGCAGTAAGCGAAGCGAATGGGACTGGGCCTAGACAGTTCTTCTGGTAGGAAAGTAATGATCATAAGGATTTTAGTTTCTCTATACACTTTTACATGAAAAACTGGAGTGGTATTGAGCACCTCTCAGCTTCATAATAAAATTCAATGTTGAT